ACTTCTGTACCCATGGCGTTCTATGTGTTTTGTGAAATATATCGTGTCGATTAAGAATGTAAGTGTCCGCAGGTTTGTATATAGAAACATCACCATTCAATTTGTCTTAAATAAGTATTTAACATCCCTGGGAGTGCAATTCAATGCAACTACCGAACACACATCAAAGGGGACGGGTTGCCATCTTTGCAACTCTCTAGCACCTGGTGTGCCCAGATTTTTCTACCAAGGCGTACGGGGAAATCACCAGTAGTATTTTTAGCATTTTACAAACAAGTATCATTATTTGTGGTATTTACCTTTGTAAAAGACTTTAGCTATATACTGATAAGACTTTTATCCTTTTAAAAACGTTATGTATTTATTATCATTCATTTTTAGAGCAAGTTCATTAAAACGTGTAGATTTAGGTCCTTCCTTAATGACCCCTACAAAGACGTTCTTATCGTCTTAACGTCTTTACAACTGCTGTTGCAGAAGAGGATGGTCTAACGTCAATTTAGCGTCTGTTTAACTTTATATATGTTTAAGTGATTATGCAATGATTTTTGTCGCTGTTATCAATATTGACTGAAGTCTGAAACACTGTCAGGCAAGATAGGTCTCAAGGGACTGAAGGAAAGGAGCGCACCATTCCCATCAGTCTGATGCGGTAGGTCCCATTTAGAATCTAGTTGTTTATCGTCGTAAGAGATGCAATTTACATGTTCGGAGTGGAAATATATGACGTCGTCGTATTCCCAGAGTATGCATAGCTCGACATTTTTCTGACTGATGCCCCTGAGGAGAGCACTATTCGCATTGTGAGATTGACAATATATCCTGGTATAAGTACAGAGCCCGACAAACAATAAACTTTATCTTCTGATGATGGATTGTGCTATCAATAAACAATACAATCCGACAATTGTGGAATTAAAATCCGATAAATATTAAAATAAGGCCAATAATTATTTTTTATCAAACGCCATCGCTGCCAAGTTAGAATTAAAATATACTTTTAGCAATGAAAAATATAATTCCCAACAGGTTAGACTTATTGTATGTATATTCAATCGGGTCTAATTAGACTGGGGAACGGGAAGGCCAGTCCATGACATCGACAAGCTACGCGTCAGGACTGTAGTATGGAGCGTAGCGTTGTCATGTTGAAATGGCATTTCGGAAACAGAATGAATAGCAGAAGGATTTGGGTTAGATACATGGTCCCGACACAGTTTGGCAGTAAGATTCCCCTGGACGACAATCGAGATCCACACACGCACGCACGCACGCACGCGCGCGCACAAACACAAACACAAACACACACACCACTGAAGACCATCCAAATCGGTCCTCAGTATGCAGTCGATTAATGACGGTATCTGCTGACCCTACATCTGGACAACTGCCTGCTGGTGGAGGTTGGAGTGCCCTTGGACGATCTGAAACGATGGCCGTCAGTTCCACAGGGGTCATCAGGCTCTGTATTGTCTGACGATTACAACCAGGGGTTCGTGCAACAACTGCAACAGATTGTCCAGCACGCTTATAATTCTGATTTATGAATATCCACACTACTATATTGACTCGCCTTTATCGCGTCGGTCGACCGCCTCCGTGGTGTAGTGGTTAAAGCGTCCGCCCGGAGAGCGGAATGTTTGGGGTTCGATCCTCGGCTGCGTCATACCAAAAGGCGTTAAAATATGGTACTTGTTGGTCCCTGCCTGGCGCTCGGCATTAATGGGTACAAAAAGGGCTGGTCGGCTCGGAGTCAGTATAAGGTGTCTGAGTCGGGTTAGACTTACAACTAGTCTCTGAAATGAACATATTTTACAGAAAAAAGCCCATAGTGAAAATTATAAAATATAATGAAAAGGAGTCATTAATGAGTCATGAGACTTTCTTCATTTTCAGAAGCTGTGGAAATCTAGACGTGCCACATTTTCTAGACTTGCGTGGGCTTTCTTGGATATATTTGCTTCAGGGTCTCCGCCCGGAGAGCGGAATGTTTGGGGTTCGATCCTCGGCTGCGTCATACCAAAAGGCGTTAAAATATGGTACTTGTTGGTCCCTGCCTGGCGCTCGGCATTAATGGGTACAAAAAGGGCTGGTCGGCTCGGAGTCAGTATAAGGTGTCTGAGTCGGGTTAGACTTACAACTAGTCTCTGAAATGAACATATTTTACAGAAAAAAGCCCATAGTGAAAATTATAAAATATAATGAAAAGGAGTCATTAATGAGTCATGAGACTTTCTTCATTTTCAGAAGCTGTGGAAATCTAGACGTGCCACATTTTCTAGACTTGCGTGGGCTTTCTTGGATATATTTGCTTCAGGGTCTGTATGACAGACTAGAGTGGGGTATTCATACTTAACTGCAGCATGAAATAATCTTAAGTACGACGTTAAACCCAATTTCACCTCACCCATCACGTCGGTAATTTATGAGGATACACGCTACTATACACTCACCTTTTCTTCGTGTTGGTCGCCAGTACCATGTTTAAACAGCCTACAGGACATTGTCACGTGTATGTGTTTCGACTTGTGTTGCGTATATATCAGTTTCGCCTGAATATCTGTCACCAATTGTCCAACTTTGAACAGCCAGGACGCATGACTCTGAGGGAACACCATTTCGGAACACCAATTAGTCCAATCTGGAATGAGTTTGTATTTGCATTCTATTTGACAACAAATTTCAAGACAACTCATTCCAGATTGGACTAATTGGTGACCAGGGCCGTACAAACGTCGATACGGCCCTTATCTGGAGCCCAGGCTAGCTATTCTCGAAACGTTCGTAGCCGAAGTCTTATTTGATCGGCCAAAGTGTTAAGAATGGGCTTAAGAAGTTCGTAGGGCTACGAACGTTTCGATAAAAGCCCTGGCACGATAAGGGCTGTATCGGTGGGTAAATAAAATTACGATATAAATAAATAATTTAGAATACGTAGCCGGTACGCACCACAGTAATGGTGTACGGTCTTAGAATTATTTACAAAAGTATTTATCTGAAAAATATTGTTGTATTGTTTATTGACCTGTTTACACAAGAGCAGCAATGTTGTGGTGCATATATGAAACGAAACACAAGATAACTGATACTCGATTAAATTCCATTTAGTACTCTAAATGTACTTTTACGCTTCAGTACTCCTGTATTGAAAAAAAAATTATCTGGAGCCCTAACAAAAATTGTCGCTTTACTTTGAAAGATGGTTTGCCCGGGAAGAAATTCATGGTTCAATCCCTGAACGCTCATACCAAAAAGTAAAGTATGGTACTTTTTTGCTTCTACATGTAAGGATATAGGAAGGTGTTAGGGTGGTGTCAGCATGCATGTTGTGTCTGAGTGGAATATCCATGTTAATCTGCTGCATGGTTTTCACACTAGCTATATGGCGGTCTGGTACAAGAAACCACAGCAATATTACAGCTATATGGCAGATTATCCCAGTTGACATTACTTCCCCTAGTTGTACTGCAACAACAAACAGTCTCGTATACTCGGCATACGGCTTGGCGTGTTTCACGGTTTGTAGGAGACAATTCGCATGAATTTTGTCGTACTTCTTCATGTTCTGGCAAGATCAGGTAGAGCCGGATGTACACAGAATACGGCAGTAAACAATAGGGCTGCGCAATTCCGGTTCAGCCATGAAATCGATACGTATTGCGATACGCTGATCGAAAACCGGTATTTCAAATACATTCGGTAAACTTCGTAACACTCAGGTCAAGTTTTCGGATATTTCCGTTTTCCACACCTCAAGTCAAGTTAAGTTCGGTTTGAAGTTGTTTTCTTAATATCTTTTCAAGTGCTTCGCAATGTTTTGGATCTGAATGTTTTAAATATTTACTCATTAACGGCCAGTGATCTCTGATATGTCCTGACCAGGTCATGTTGTTGTCGAAAATCTGAGGGCTTTTTTTGAGAGTGGAGAAAGTAGTTCAAACTAGCAACCACTGTCTTGATGCTAAATTGTTCTTTTCCTCGTTTCATTTGTGACAAATATTATTTATTTTGTCATAATTAAAAGTTATTATTAAAGCTTAATCAAGCATAGTGATTTTGTTGTTTTTTTGCCTTATAGTTAAGCATTAACTCCATTATAAGTAGTTTTTTTGTTTTAAAAAACTTCTTGCAATATATTGCAGTACACATCGCAATATATGTTTTCGCATCGCAATATATCGCAATATGAAAATTCTCTGCAATACCCACCCCTAGTAAACAACGTGTTGGTAATCCCTAAATATCACGATATCACACAAGCCAAGCCATAACTGCACATTTTCCAAGCAGATTCCATGGTAAATCGCTGCCACAGTAGCAGTACTAATGGCAACTGGCAATATCGACGAGCAGCACCTCAAACCATTCGTTAGACAACCCCACCTTCTGTGTAATCTCATAAGACAAGAACAAACCAACCCTTCATTACAGTGTATTTAACATCGCTAACAGATAGCTGTGGTAAAATGAAGTATAGTGAGTAATGACGTTGGCTGACATAACTGTCTCTATCAACTGACAACTGGTCTTCATCAGCAGGTGTACAACTGTCATGTTTCAAATGATGTGCCAAGCATCAGCCTTCTTCTCCCAACTGACTAAATTAACAACATGACGTATTATGACAAATGGAAACGGAGTGTGTATAGGATGTCCCTTAACACTAGGTGTTTGGTTAGCGATGAGATCACTGTATACATACAGTGACATCCGTCCTAAGTACATGCAAAAAGTTATAACACCAGGTGTTCGGATAGCGATGAGATCACTGTATACACAAAGTGGCATCCGTCCTAAGTACATGCAAAATCCAACAAGCGTCGAGGATATATAACGTCAACGTAATTTTCAATACTGAATGAATAGTTTCGGCAGTTAATTTGAGGATTATTCTATGACGTTGAAGTTCAATATAATATAGAAATATATATATAAATATAGAAAAAAGAATACTTTTTACTGTTGACATGGACTTGAAATAAATATAACACAAAGATAGGTTGTTATTCAATTCTGACATTTATTATATTTCTTTTAATTACCTAGTCATCGTCAAATTATAATGTAAGGATCACTTTCATGCTATGGGCATGTGTATCTGGAAATGTCAGAAATGCTTATTTTGGCCAAATATAGCCTAATCCAAGAGTTACTTAAACAAAACCCAACATACCAAAGATTGCACTGCGCTGAGGAGATTCAACATAGGAACACATACGTTTAGAGTCGTCAGCACCTCGGGTGTGCGTTACTTAATATTGTCAATAGTCCCACCTTTGATAAGTCTGATGAATATAGCTTTTCAAAACAACCAATGAGTAGAGTATGTTTTCGTCATACACAGAGAAAGATCGAACGAAACGTACATCCTTGCAGGAGAGTTCCAAGAAATCTGGCAATGAGAGGCACCGGCAACATGACAGCTCCTAGACGAAGAATTTGCAGTTCTTACAACATTTCCTGTTTAGGGTGGTTTTGCAACAGAAGCAACTGCTAGACATCCTTTTTTCTGAATATATCGGGGCCACAGTTTGTTCCAGCTTGGGTTCCCGATCCGATCGCTTCACTAAGTTGGTACACAAATCACAACAAAACTGGTTAGTCATTCTGCTCTGAACGCAACATCCACATGTTGGAGATCTTGTTTTACGGTGGAATGTCCGGACACTCTCTGCATTTCTCTTGTCATAGCTCCCAGTGCCTTGCATGTATTGTGGAACGTCCTCGTACAATGTTTGTGTGACCCCCAAGTCCACCAAGCCAAGTACCATCAATGCGTACATACAGTAGACAGCCGTCATTTCTGAAACAAACCCAACACTTTGAACAGTGTCCAGCTGGAGTGGAAAGAACACAAGCTAAATCACGGCAAACGCCAACATCAACTAAAATATCAAATACGGAAATAACGACTTGCTGAATTAACAATTACAACTGATGTCGGTTACGATCAATCAATTACCCATTCAATTAAGGTGATCCTCAGTCCCTCAGCAAATCAGTACTAAAATGTCCAGTTACCATCGCCAGAACCAAGGGTACAATTCAGTTCACGATATGTTTCCAATACTCATCCCTTTCACAGGGATAACACCACTATATGTGATAAGTATACACGGCCAAGCCAATACTCGCTATATACTGAATAAATTAGTTGGAGGTCATCACAGGTTTTAAAAAACAATCTGAAAATAATGTCGTAACTTCAAAACTGTGCATCGTTCAAGTGAAACCAACACACATTAGCGAGATCAATAAACATGGATGTACTCTCCTTAACAACGTGACTGGAGTGCCAGAGTCATCTCTGTGTGATTATTAAACTCACTGACATTGCATCATGTTGATTGTTCCGTTTAAGTAATTACAACTTCAGCCCGGGATACGATCATTTACAAGTGAAACAATCACACTCAGTACTCATGAAAGTGAAAGAAAATGTCAAATTTCAGAGGAATTTTTTTTTTCTGCAATATATATGCAAACCTTCCAAATGGTGTATTACTAGTTTGGAACATTATTATTATTATATGCGCACAATAATCTTAATATCGTATATCGTCTAAAATATAAATACGAAGATAAGACGACGACACATAAATGATTAACCAAAACCTGAAACTCAAATGAAAAATTAATTGGAGAAGGAATTCTTGAACTACGGAAACAATAAAGGGTTTCTAAACACCCAAAAAAAACCAACTTTACCTTGCAGAAATACTATCGCTTCAATGTCTGGTACTCATGTAAATCCATGTATCTCACACCTATCACCTTAACACGCCTCCTCCAGCTAACCTACCTTCTCGACCACTTCTAAACCTTGAAAGCCTCGTTCAAGAACGTAACTGCGGGATAAAAGGCTATTTTCGAGCGTAAATCTATTATTTTTACTGTAAAAAAGTGCCCACTCTATTGACGGTTGTCCGATCATTGAAATTATCAGATTTAATTGATATCACGGGCGGAAACCGATGGAGAGAAAAAACTCGCGACCAGAAAGAAGTGGTTGAAAACACAACACATCTGCCTTAATTCCCCACAAGGGGACAGCTATTTGTTCAATTACCAAGCATCTCTACACAGAAGAAGCGTGATTGATGTAATAAGTGGAATCGCTACTTGCTTATTGGGGTACATAATTTTCGCACATCCGATCTTTTTTCTCGTGAGTGAATTCAATCCGGAAATGTCCCTTCAAAATGACATTTGCTTCTCGACTGAAGTTGACTGGAATAGATAGGTATGGAAGGAATGATTGCTTACCTGTAGCGAAGTCGTGGTTATGGTCAAATTATGGCCGTGATTATATAAAGCTCCACATTTATAGTGCAATGTTCTTGAGAGTGCCATTAGCCCCATATGTTCCACTCGAATCACGATGCCCCCCACACTTACCCACTATAACTATAAACCAACTCCTCATTCGAGATTTTACGTTTCACGATATGTCCTCTGAGATTTGTTCAGGATTTATAACAAATGGACACTTCATTATGGAAATAAAATAGCCTCAATACCGATTGAATCGTCTGAGATTCGCATGGAGGCACCGTTAATGAGTCCCCAGCGGCGTCCAAAATGCCTCTAATACATAAATGTCATTTTGTAATTGCGATTTCTGGAGGTGTGACAAGCGTTTGATCAGTTACAAATATCAAGAAGTGGATATAACGTGGCTTGCTCAGTCTCAATATAACCATCCCGGATAGATATCTATACTGTTTGCCGAGTGATCAGGTGATTGCAATTCAATTAGCGATTACTGGTGGCAACAAGAGTAGTTGCACTTAAGAACTTGTGCATAATGAAAAGTGAAGACGGTTGACTTTAGATTTAACATTAGATTGTCCCACCACTGACAGTATGGACTAGTGATGTTCCGATTAATTGAAATAATCGAAGATTTTTCAAAGTGACCAAACGACCAAGCAATCGATCACATTTTCTCATAATCGAACACAAACGATTTTGGAACTGCTGTTTTAGTCTTTGAAACACTTGACGATGGAACATATCTTCGAAGTTGTCAGGGCCTGAAAACTTGTTTAATTCTTAGAAAACTCACTTCACTAACTAAGAAGTTATGACTGAATATTTCTTGAAGACCCCAGAAGGTTTATGTTCATGATATATCAACATCACTTTAAAGTAGCAAGGTGCATCATGTTATACATATCTGCAATAACAACCTGAATAGGAAAATCTGAAAATTGACGCTAACCAATTTTTATCGATGATTGTTCGTTGGTAATGAAGCAATCATCAATTATGAGATTTCAACCAGTTCCCAACACTAGTATGGACCTAACAGGCAATATATTTTAAAAAAATAGATGAAAACTTTTGTACTAAAATTGTATCATTGAAGTCGTGGTTATTCAGATATCCCTGTTAGTTTCATACCATGGCCTTGTCACAAACAGCTTAACCGGCAATATGACCGTGATATGGACAAAATCATTAAAAAGCAATTTGACCAAAAGATTCAGGTATATTAATGGATGATCTTATATAAATTTTGGCCAAACATTTCCAATGGTTAACAAACCGGAAATATAAGACCAGTGAAACGGCCTGATCTGTTTCGTGTTTAGGTGTATACACAAAGATTCGGAGTGACACAACTAATCCCAAGACCATGTGACAACTGGGATGACTTCGACTTACCGATAGTCCACTTTACCTTAATGTCAAGGAATGTTCCAGCAGCTCCAGAGTTTGGTGTCTACATTTCATAACATATCATGATCTTTCTCATTTTATAAAACTAACGCTGAACACGTGGTTTTTTGTTCGTGATCGTATCATATCCATAGATACAAGCAATTCGTCGGGCGATGCTTCCTTAATCAAAAGCCAATTGGTGCAGCAAATTTACCTTTCCTAGCTTCATCGTTATCTCAGTAGGATTCCCATCAGACAGACAAGCAAATCAGTAAGCTAATGAACAGGACATATGTACTATACAAGGAGTCGATATTTGCTGGAATGGGTTTTCATTGGTAGCTTTTGCAAGATACATCAAACGCTTTTTTCCTGACAACCCAGACAGTTACGAATGTACAAACCTTTGGCTTTTCGTGTTCATGCATACAGATCACTCAACACCACAGCGACATGAAAATCTGAGACAATACTAAAGACAATGCTAAAGACAATACTAAAGACAATGCTGAAGACAATACTAAAGACAATGCTAAAGACAATGCTAAAGGCAATGCTAAAGACAATACTAAAGACAATACTAAAGTCAATGTTAAAGACAATGCTAAAGATAATGCTAAAGACAATGCTAAAGACAATAAAAAGACAATGCTGCAGACAATACTAAAGATAATACTAAAGACAATGCTGAAGACAATACTAAAGGCAATGCTAAAGACAATACTAAAGACAATACTAAAGTCAATGTTAAAGACAATGCTAAAGATAATGCTAAATACAATGCTAAAGACAATAAAAAAGACAATGCTGCAGACAATGCTAAAGATAATACTAAAGACAATGCTGAAGACAATACTAAAGGCAATGCTAAAGACAATGCTAAAGACAATACTAAAGACAATGCTGAAGACAATGCTGAAGACAATACTAAAGACAATGCTTAAGAAAATACTAAAGACAATACTAAAGTCAATGCTGAAGACAATACTAAAGACAATACTAAAGTCAATGTTAAAGACAATACTAAAGACAATGCTAAGACAATACTAAAGGCAATGCTGAAGACAATACTAAAGACAATACTAAAGACAATACTAAAGACAATACTAAAGACAATGCTAAAGACAATACTAAAGACAATGCTGAAGACAATACTAAAGACAATACTAAAGGCAATACTAAAGACAATGCTAAAGACAATACTAAAGACAATGCTAAAGACAATGCTAAAGACAATGCTAAAGACAATACTAAAGACAATGCTGAAGACAATGCTGAAGACAATACTAAAGGCAATGCTAAAGACAATACTAAAGACAATACTAAAGACAATGCTAAAGACAATGCTAAAGACAATACTAAAGACAATACTAAAGACAATGCTAAAGACAATACTAAAGACAATACTAAAGTCAATGCTAAAGACAATACTAAAGACAATACTAAAGTCAATGTTAAAGACAATGCTAAACTAAAGGCAATACTAAAGGCAATGCTAAAGACAATGCTAAAGACAATACTAAAGTCAATGTTAAAGACAATGCTAAAGACAATACTAAAGACAATGCTGAAGACAATACTAAAGGCAATACTAAAGACAATGCTGAAGACAATACTAAAGGCAATGCTAAAGACAATACTAAAGACAATGCTAAAGACAATACTGAAGACAATACCCTCAAGACAATGCTAAAGACAATACTAAAGACAATACTAAAGGCAATGCTAAAGATAATACTAAAGGCAATGCTGAAGACAATGCTGAAGACAATACTAAAGACAATACTGAAGACAATGCACTAAAGAGACAATACTAAAGACAATGTCGAAGACAATACTAAAGATAATATTAAAGGCAATGCTAAAGACAATACTAAAGACAATACTCAAGTCAATGTTAAAGACAATACTTAAGACAATGCTAAAGATAATGCTAAAGACAATGCTAAAGACAATACAAAAGACAATGCTGCAGACAATACTAAAGATAATACTAAAGACAATGCTCAAGACAATACTAAAGACAATACTAAAGACAATGCTAAACACAATGCTAAAGATAATGCTAAAGACAATGCTGAAGACAATACTAAAGACAATGCTATAAACAATACTAAAGACAATGCTGAAGACAATACTAAAGGCAATGCTAAAGACAATGCTAAAGACAATACTAAAGACAATGCTGAAGACAATGCTGAAGACAATACTAAAGACAATGCTTAAGAAAATACTAAAGACAATACTAAAGTCAATGCTGAAGACAATACTAAAGACAATACTAAAGTCAATGTTAAAGACAATACTAAAGACAATGCTAAGACAATACTAAAGGACAATGCTGAAGACAATACTAAAGACAATACTAAAGACAATGCTTAAGAAAATACTAAAGACAATACTAAAGTCAATGCTGAAGACAATACTAAAGACAATACTAAAGTCAATGCTAAAGACAATGCTAAAGACAATACTAAAGACAATGCTGAAGACAATGCTGAAGACAATACTAAAGACAATGCTGAAGACAATACTAAAGACAATACTA